AAAGCTTTTAAAATCAGCACTTTTTGATGAATCTCGAATCCCTTGTGTTGGTGGTGGGTCGTCCGGGTCGATCGTTCGGGCGTTCGTGTCGTCGATGCCGGGTGACGATGCTCGATCGACTCTTGTTTCTAGGGGGTCTCCTGCGAAACCGGCTCGATCGTTAGTCCTAAAATATGGACTTGGTCGATGAAACTTACCTCGGTTGGTCTGTTCTCCATCGTTGGGTCGATGGAAATTGTTGAGGCTTCCACTCGCGTCCGGGGGTCGAGGGTCGGCCGATAGAATATCCACTTGGCCGGTTGCGTTGATCAGGGCCTCAACTCCTTCATTGAATGTTTCTCTTAGCTTCCTTGTACGTGAACGGGTCATTGGTCCAGCTATGACCGTCGGGATTGTTGGTGTCGGGTCACTCGTTACCGGTTCGTGGCCATCCGTCGAGCATTCCTCGATGTCCGGTTCTATGTCCTCATCATCATGTGTCTCGGGATGTGAAATTCATCGAAACAAAAGGCTTCCATGATGAACGAAATTGGGAGGACATTCAAGACTTAGCTCACTCCTCTTCGGACAGAGCTACTAACCTCAAGATCCTCCTCGAACGCCTTGGTGTCACCAACAACGATGTGCCACCCTCACCCGCTACACATGATCAAGATTCGGATAACATGACTCATGGAGAAGAAGTTATTAACGACGACATATCACTCGACGAGAATGGAAACCAAGATGAGGAATGATATATCATGGTTTTACGGGTTTTTGGTCATGATATAAGTCTTATTTATAGAGCTTTTCTAGTGTTTTCGAGTCTTTTTGAGTCATTTCAGGATTAGGAACTATTTGGCATGGATTGGAGCTTTTTGGAGCATTTGGAGAAGATGTGTCGAAGGAATGTATCGGGAAAGCATATTTGGTGTGAGTGTCGAGCGTCACAACTTCTGGTGTCGATCGACACCAATATCAGACGGCAATTGAATTTCTCGCTTAATTGAAGTTCAGAAGATTTGCATATTCGGCCCAAAAGTTTCCCTTATTTGCAATTAAGCCCAGTTCGTGGTTAAGACATATATATTGAGTTTTAGGGTTTTGTTAAGACTTAAGCTTTATTTTGGAGAGAGAGAGATTTGTAGAGAGTCAGGAGAGAAGAATCAAAACCTCCTTCAGAGAAGATTCAGAACTTTTTTATTTCTTCTATTACTTTCTTTTTTGATATCTATTTTATTCATAATGTTTGTTTCATTCACCATGTCAGAGTAGATCTCTTGTTAGGTTTAGGGTTTTCAAAGGAATTCATGAATTGTTAGGATGTTAGATTATTAGGATTTAATCAGTAGAATTCTTCATCTAGATTGTGGTTAATTTGTTCTAGAGTAGTGAAAGCAACCTAGAATCTGATCTTAGGTTAATTGGTAGACACGAAAGTGTTATTGATTTCCTGAAAATAATCTAGATGAGCAGAATACCTATTCGCAAAGAGATTTGGTTTAAGGATTTTGTG